GTGCCCAGGTGTGCCCAGGTGAGTTCTCTCCACCCCAGATTGAAAACGGCCCCAGGATTTTGGAGATTTTTGGCAATTTTGGGGGAATTTTGGGGATTTTAGGGGGGGTTTGGGGGCTTTGAAGGTGGGTACAGGTGGGTACAGGTGGGTACAGGTGTGCCCAGGTGTGCCCAGGTGAGTTCTCTCCGCCCCAGATTGAAAACGCTCCCAGGATTTTGGGCAATTTGGGGATTTTTTGGGGAATTTTGGGGAATTTGGGGGATTTTAGGGGGGGTTTTAGGGGTGGGTAGGTGGGTACAGGTGGGTACAGGTGTGCCCAGGTGTGCCCAGGTGCGCCCAGGTGTGCCCAGGTGAGGTCCCTCCACCCCAGACTAAAAACGCTCCCAGGATTTTGGGCAATTTGGGGATTTTTTGGGGTTTTTTTGTGTTTTCCGGTGTTTTTATGGGTTTTTTTTGGCTTTTTTCGGTGGTTTTGGGCATTTTTTTTTTGTATTTTTGGTATTTTTGGCGTTTTTGCTGTTTTTTGAGGGGCTTTTGGATTTTTTGGGGGTTTTTTTTGGGGATTTTTTGGGGGATTTCGGGGGTCCCGCAGTGGGAGGGGCTCGGGGGTGCCCAGGTGTGCCCAGGTGTGCCCAGGTGTGCCCCATGACTAAAATTCAGGATTTGGGGATTTTTGGGGTATTTTGCTGGATTTTTTGTATTTTTTAGGGGTTTTTCTGTATTTTCCGGTGTTTTTATGGTTTTTTTGGCCAGTTTTGGTGTTTCTTGGGGGATTTTTGGGGCTTTTTTGGTGTTTTTTGCTGTTTTTTGAGTGTTTTTTTGGCTTTTTTGGGGGTTTTTTTGGGGGATTTTTTTTGGGATTTTTTCGGGGATTTCGGGGGTCCCGCGGTGGGAGGGGCTCGGGGGTGCCCCCAGCTGTGCCCAGCTGTGCCCAGGTGTGCCCAGGTGCGCCCAGGTGTGCCCAGGTGCGCCCTTACCTTGACGGCGAAGTCAATGACGCGCTTGACCCCCACGAGCACGCGCAGCGCCGCCATGGCTGCCCCGCTGGCCACGCCCACCGCCACGCCTCCCGGTGACGTCACCGCCAGCTAAGCCACGCCCACAACCCC